CATTTTGAAAGTAGATAGCGCATAACTCATAAAACAAACAAAAAATACTTTACTATGCTACTTTTATTTAATTAACATTGTATTATAGCTAACGCTAACTACCACGTGCATACAAATTACTTTCTGCATATATATTATTTGTATTCATTTGATATTCAACTGTAAAATTCAGTTTGTTTAACCATTAGTGTTTTGAAATTGTATTAGAATTACTAGATATGTGCAAATAGCCGAGCTGAACTGAAATTAAAAATAAAAAAGAAATGTTAGACACAAAGCGTAAATAGTGTAAAGCATGGATAAACAAGCGAACCGCCATCACTCGAATTGTAAACTACCCGTAGGCAGTGGAAGTAAAAATTTAATGCATTTTCTAGTAAGAAAAAAAGTTTGCCAAAAAGAATTTGATATTAATTTGCGCTGCTTGTTTATTTGAATTTCACACCATATACGCACCGATGTCAATAGGGTTCTATTAACACGACACAGGCCAATGGCAGAAAATTCCACATCAACAACAAGTAATTGTTGCCAGAACTTTTTCACCTGCAAGTAAAGGAGAGAATTAAAAATTTGTTTACATCAACTTTAAAGGCCAAATTGTATGTTTGGATATGTCAATTGTAATTATATACACATGCAGACACTCAACTCTCACCTCCTCTGCCAATATTGGATCGTGTACTTTGCGCTCAATTTCGCACACTATTTGTATTGTTTTTTTGGACTGCAAAGCATACACAAAATTTTTATAAATTGTAGTAGTTCGACAATAGATTTTTAGCAAATATTTGTATTTACTCACCTCCACTGTCGCCAAATGACATGGCTCTACAACCAAAATTAAGCGCAGTGAATGGAAAATAATCCACAACACTTGTAGCCATACCATGCCGCTGTCTTTCTTGCTAAGCAATTCGAGAAACAGGAAATATGCCGTGGCCACCAAGTGCAGTAGACAAGAGACCAATATGAAAAGTACAGCAACGCCATGGGAGCTTCGGGGTGAATGCAGTAATTTTAATAGAAAAATATGGCACATGAGGAATAAAAATATTACACTTGAAGTTGTTAGAAAATTCGTCGTCTAATAATATCAAACTAAAAAAGATTAATCCTGATTATTTTAGATACATTTTTTTCACTCACTTGGAAACCAAACGCATGCATTTTCCCAGGGACTCGTGGTTTTCCTCAAGCATTTTAAGCAAGACGACTTTATTTTTGCCTGAATTTTGGAAAAATACGGTAAATTTTTATTTGTGCGATTACTCTTTCAAAATTATTTTTTTTAAATTTTTATTAATTTTTACTGTAAAAAAATATACAGCTAATTTTTCAGTTTTCCATTTTTGTGTTTAATGATTATTAATTATAATTTTATTTTTTTTAATGTGATTTACATTTTTTTATTTCTGCTCTATGTTCTATTTTATTGTATTTGTTTTAAATTTCATTAATTTTATTTTGTTTTAATTTAAAATTTGTAATTTTTTAAATTGAATTAATCTGTATTATAGGTTTATCCGATTTTAATTAATTAATATTTTATATTATTCTTCATTTAATTTTATTTAGCTGCATCTTAACTTGTCAAATTTTTTCTTTTATATTTTATCTTTTCTTATTTTGATTCATTTTTTGTTGCCCTATTTTATTTCCTTACCTCCACCTCCATCCTTTTGCATAGTTTCATTCGCAAATTTGTTCAAACTTTGATGCAAAGCCAACGGATTTTGGGACACAACTTTGACAGTAGTTATTAGCGGCATCGATGAAGCGTCCTTCTTGCTGTTTTCGACTTTGTGAAAAATTTATACTCAATCAAAAAAAAAGTGGGTCTGTGAAAAGTCGCGTAAAACGCCCACACATACCTTTAAGAAAAGTGCTCTTCAACATCACATTTAGTCGCCGAAAGCGTCTGCCAAGACCAAAAGCAGTATTAGCAAAGTTCATTTGCAAGCCAGTTAATATGAAATAAAGACTATAAAAGGGTATGTACCATTGCACATTTATTTCTGAAATTTAGTCCAGAACATTTTGTTAAAAATTTGAATAGCCATTTTGTAAAAATTCGGCCTTATCGCAAATTCCATCTGAACAAATATTCCCAAAAATTATAAAGCAAAACAAAAACAAATTTTCCCAGTTTGTTTTTGTTTTGCATGTTAATTTATGGGAACGTTTTATTCACATGGAATTGGCAATAAGGCTGATTATTTACCTGTGTCGTCTTCGGGAGTTCTCTCGCCTATGGCAAAACGTAGCCAAGTCGAAATGTCAAGCGCTAATTGGTCACATAGTATGTACATAGATTTATATAAATTAGGCAGGAAAACAAGAAAAGGAATAATATTTTTCTTTTTTTTAGTTTTATGAGATATGTAGTTTTTATACTATATTACCTAGGAGCAAAGAAATTGCTATCAAAGGCACTGACATCATTACTATTGCCAATATGTGATCGCGCTTGAAATTCGAAAATGAGTGCAACGAATCGTCAATCTATATGAAAGAAAAATTACATAAAAAACGTAATTATTTATTTTATGCTAATTGTTTCTTCTTATTTACCTTCCTTAGTCGCGTATTCAGTTCACGCGTTGAACGCAATCCCCATAAGCCGCAACCAACTCCGGCCGTGCACGCAAACACCACCACCGAAACATCTAGCGCTGTCACCACTTTCGAAGTAGCAGATTTCATTCTAAAAGATGGTCTAAATTGTTGAATTTTGACAATAAATGTGGTGGTGCATTAGACGTAGCGGATTTGTTGATAATGGTGTAAAAATGTTACATACGCAAGGCGAGGAAAAGACGGAAGGGAAGAAAGAAGTAAAAGAATTAATAGAAGAAAAGTATTAAAGGTAAGTACATAAATAGTAATTTTACTACGTAACTACTTGCAATACTACATATTAAACAACGAAAACACAGCAAGTCCAGATTAAAACCAGACCACAAAAAAAAAAAAATCAGAAGTGCGATACTTAACGGAGATTCATTTGGTAGTATTTTAGATTTAAGAAATTCAGTGTACATATCTGTTGCTATCATCATCATCATGAGAAAACTAAACGATGGCTATTTTGGCTAAGCAGCTAGGTATCTGCTAGGAGTACACCTATTTTTTTGTTTCCAAAATCTAATTAAGCTATTCTGGTTCTCATGGCCTTATACATATCGCACGTTTAATAATATAACTAAAAATTTACATTTTTGCAGATTTCTTCATACAATTAATAAGCTTGATAAGTAGAATATGTTCATTCTAAGAGATGACTTAACCTCCCAAAAATGGCGAAGATATATTTATGTATCGCCATCTGTATTTTGGTATACAGTATATTTTGCTTTGCTGCCTTTATGCTTAGCTGCACATTTAAGATGCCTACCCCAAAATGCGCATCAGCGGCAGTATTTTTAACATTTATAAATAAACTTCTCCGATAGATGCATTCAACA